AGTCCGCCGATGGGAGGGACACAGTCGAATATTGACAGTTGTGGGAAAGCAGGAAGCCAATTTAGCGAGCCTGTATGTGCATTAGCTGTTCCCCTGTCTGACTTAAATTCTGCAAAAAATTATTCAGCTCAAGCAATCCATCTGTGATTCGACCACTCGTTACGATGATAAATCGGTAGAGGAAAAATGTCAGAAGCCAAATCCGTCATCAGCTTGCTTATAAGCAATCCTCGAAAGAGACTGAATCAACAGCTCCCCCCATGGATCTGTCTAGGATGGAATAAATCTGCATGCAGGATGTCACTGCATAGGCCATGCGCGGAAATAAAAACCCAACAGATTGTGCATGTTGCTCGTCTTGCCGACAACTGGTGGTTGTTGAACATTAATGAATGGTACTGACGAAAAAAAAAACCACCCCCCAACCCACTCCAGAACAGGTGGCGCACATACACTGAATAGGCGGTGGATATCAACTGCAGTTATGAGACCAGGATCGGAAAAGTTGGCATAGTTTGCGACCAACGTGTGGAAGCATCCCAGTAACATCACTAACACAGCATAAATATCCTCAGTGGTTGTCCGGGCGATCTTGGTATTCTTGGAGAATATGTGACTCAAATTTACCTCAATAAGACAGATAAGGCTGGCAGCTCTTGCTTCATTTGATGCACATTTGTTAGTGGTAAAGTAAAATGCAATTTCGATAATCGATTCGGCTGAAAGCAGTGCTATCTGAAAAGATTGAACATCACTGAACATGGCCGAATCCCAAAAACTCAAAGCAGTTATTTCAGCAATTAGTCTATTTTTCCATCGCAAAGCATCCATTCTATTAATCCTGTTAGCTCTTCTACACATTATCCTCTCAGCCTTAATAGCTTTCCTGCATGTGCATGTATTTGTGTGTATGTATATGTATGTGCGTGTGTGTATGTATATGTATGTTTGTGTATGTATATGTATGTGCATGTATGTGTGTGTATATGTGAGTATGTATATGTATGTTTGTGTATGTATATGTATGTGCGTGTATGTGTGTGTGTGTACTTATGTGTCTGTGTGCAGTGTATTTATGTGTGTGTTGTACGTATTTTCTATTCAGTACACTAAATTCAATCTGGATAAGTCAAAAATTGGAAACAGCAGCAGTTAAGTCTAAAATATCAATGTTATTGGGACGAACACTTCTGGAACAAACTGAGCATATCTGAAATGGTCAAACACAAGTGTGTAAACACACACAGACATACACAGACACACACGCACGGACGCATATACACACAGCCACACGGGCAAATGCGGCACTATAAACACACACACACATACACACACATATATACACACATACACACGCGCCCACACACATACACACACGCACAAAAACACACACAAACACTAAGAGACTCTTTTTAATAAGCATATATGCAATAAAAAGCGCCTAAAATACCAACAATGAATTACCTCAGGCCCATAATCTGAACTGACGCCAGCACGCAGAAACTCAATTATTGCATTGTACGTCTTTTCTGGCACAATATCAAGACTTCGAGGTTCCAGTTCAATAAAATACAATATGAAAAGATAGAATCTGCAACATGTTTTTGTCGTTGAATCATAGCTCATGACCTTCGTCAATAGGATGGATTATCAAGCAAATTCAGCAGAACTGATTAAAAAAATCAAAAAAATTGAAAGTTTATCAACAGCATAAATTAACAGCCGTATTTTGAGTTGCCGTCTATTCCAAAATCCCAGTACAAAAATGAAGGCTTACTTTTTGCACAGATTAGGTAACTGGAGTAGCTCACTGTTCAGGATCGGTAACAGTATCTCAAAAGCGTTAAAAGCAATACAGATACCAACATGCGCGAGATCTGCTTCACCTGAAAATATCCTGATAATCGCCGTAATACAAAAATTTTTAGTTATCTCTACTTATACGTATTCAGAATGCACCCAATCGTTCATATTTCTTATACGGGGGATTAGTTCCAGACTAATTATGCGTTTTTGCATATATGCAAATCAGAAAACGCATATTGCGACAACCCCCGTGCGTGTGTGTTGTGTGTATGAATGTGTGTGCGTCCGTCCAAGTATTCAACTCGGCACTCAAGCAAGCTCCGGTGCCAAAATTTTGCGAGTAGGCTCCCTGGCCAAGTGTTACCCCAGGGCCGCGGTACCAACCGTCACGCACCTTCCGATTTATATCTCTTGTAAAAAGATAATACACTATACTGGAAAGCTTTAAGGGATGTATTTTGGAACGACTGATGTAAATTTAAGAAAATTCATACGACAAGTTTGCAGACTCGAACGAAAAAGTATCAAATGCGAATGCCCTATGCAACATATGTTCTCTTAGCCTTGCCAATTGCTCTGTGGAAGAACCGCTTTGAAGATGCACCGTACGTCAAAATCAGCAGAAGAGTGACCACCAGAGAAAACAGCAAGTCATGGTGAATGCAGCCCCTTCTCAAAAATTGCTCTGGACCAGGAGGGAATCGAACCACTCCTCTCCACGTCCGAACACAATGTGCAACCACTACACCACCGGTCCTTGTGCTCTAGATTTAACCTGGCAGCACATCTACTGTGTATCTGT